GACTGAGTGGATAAGAGCGCTGGGAATCTGGACCGTCCCCAGTAGCAGTTTCGACTCCTGCTGACTGCGATCTTTCTCTGTATATACCCGCTTATTTCTGCCTGGTGCATCATATATATATATATATATATATATATATATATATATATATATATATATATATATATATATATATATATATATATTTATATATATATATATATATATATATATATATATATATATATATGTATGTGTGTGTGTGTGTGTGTGTGTGTGTGTGTGTGTGTGTGTGTGTGTGTGTGTGTGTGTATGTGTGTGCGTGTGTGTCGTGCCGAATAGGTAAAATTGGTCAAGTAGCAAGAACTCATTTAAAATTAAGTATTTTAAAATTTTCTCTTACACGTTTATAGATCTTTTGTTTTTCATTCATGTTAATTTAAAAATTAATAATTTTGTCCAAGAAGAACCTTAGAAAACGTCCCTGTCCTTAATATAACAAGCGCAATTTAATTGAGCCTAATCCAACTAAATATATTTTTGATAAGTTTACAATAATTTAATAACAAACAAACACAATAAAATATAATTTTTTTCGTTAGGTTCAGAATGATTTTAGCGAAATTATTGCTTGTACAAATTTTCGCTTGCCTTATTTGGCAAAAAGAACGTTGCTGTTTAAGCCAAAAATAGCAAGTTTTACCTATTCAGTTGTATACATATAATCCAGGAAGACAGTCCTCTCACCCTTCCAGGATATCTTTGGAAGAGTCGTGGTAAGAATCATGGTAGTAACTCACTCAATGAAAATCTATTCGTTTATTCTTTATATTTATTAACTTTTTTGTTTTTCATACCACAGTTCCATCTTGTCTAAACAGTGTTGTTATAATTTCAGGTACGAGCTGTACAACGTGGACGTGTGGGCAACAGTAGTTGTTTTGCTCGTCATTATCAGCTATGTCTCAGTACGACTTATAATTTCCTTGTGTTCCTGGCTCTTCTCCAAATCCAAGGCCAAAACTGATTAAAATTGTTCTTGCCTAGAGTATGTTTCCTGTCATTCCATTACATGCACTGTTAAGTCCGAGTGCTTCGATGGGAAACTATTATTACACACACAATATATATATATATATATATATATATATATATTTTATATATATATATATATATATATATATATATATAATTATATATCGATGAGGTAATTTCTGTTGCCAAGAATAAGTTAATAACAGACACTGAATCATTGCATGTTATGAGAGAGTTATCCCAGTATCACATAACCTCGGCCTCCTGTGCCTCAACCCTTGCTGGAAACCTAGTAGTTCCACCTCAGATGCTTAAATAGCAGCTGCAACTAGTCTCTTAGCAGATCCAGGAGCTGTAGTTCAGTCTTCCCAAGTACTCCAGGATCTTCAAATCAGTTACATAAGACCCAGGAGCCAGAGATGCACATATTCAAGAAGTCTACCAGCTGCACCTTAACACCTATGAAACACCGAAGTACTGCTGATTAACACTCAAAATTACCAAGAGCTAGAGCTATCAAACAACGTATGGAAAATTTATGAGCGATTTTCCTAAATTAAAAAAATCCAAATTACCGACGACTGATAGCCATATGGGCTAGTTTAAAAACGAGGTTGATTCCCTTTTATATCACGGAAACGAATATAGTGAACATGCATAAGTACATAACGAAGGAACAATGCATCAGACTTACTGGCCTATGCTAAACAAGTTCCCCTCACAACCACTCACACCCGCTCATGTACCCGTTCAACTTATAATTGAAGCTACAAAAATGTTTTTGTCTCAATTAAATTACCTAGAAGTTTGATCTAAATTTCTTCAACTTGTATCCATTGCTGCGAATCCTGTCTTGTTTATATATTTTCAACACAATATTTATCTCTCCTAGATCTTTCTCGTACTGACTTTGTTTAAGATCTACATTGCATAACTTATAAGGGCCATAGTTATTTCCTTATCCTAGGATTAGAACGTTCCACTTGTCTAAGTTAAACTGTGTGTTCCACTTCTCCGACCACAACTTACCCAAGTCATCTGTTGCCTTCTAGTGTCCACATCAGAAATTATGTGACGGCCTATTTTAGTGCCATCAGCAAACTTGCTCACGTTGCTATTTACTTCCAAACCAGTGTGGTTTATGTACATTTTGAACTATAACGGTCCCACCAGCGACTTTTTTGGTACACCACTCTTGAAAAGTCCTCATTCCGATTTATTCCAATTATTAAAAACTCCCTGTTGCTATTGGTCAGCCATACCTCGACCCCGGGAGATAATTTTTCCTTCAATTCCCTGTGCCGCTACTTTCCTAATCTCCTGTGTGGAACTTTATCAAAGACCTTACTGAAGTCTATTTACACAGTATTGTTTTCTTCATCTCGGTCAAGAATGCCCTTTTGTAGAACTGTGTTGACATTCGTTAATCAAATTATATATTTCATGGTGGCTTCGAATTGCATCGGCAATTACTGATTCCATGAACTTTCCCACAATTGAAGTTAGGTTGATTAATCTATAATTTGAAGTTAAGGACTTCTCTCCCGCTTTGCAAATGGGCATCACATGTGCAATTTTTCACTTATCCGATACAATACCTGTTTGCTGTGATTCGTTGAAGAGACTAGCTCATGGTTCTTTACAATCATTTAAAACCCTTGTTTGGCAGAACTAAGTTTAGCAGGTAGTTCGTCTAGTTGGTTCCGACACAAACTGTTTTACAAAGCATTTCTGGACCATTTCAAAAAAGTCACTAAACTCTTGATTACCTGTCTTTAATTGTTCCGGTTGATATGGCTAAAGTTAAAAATTTCCCATTAAAACTACATTTCATTTTTAAGATTCCTAAGTAATTTCATCCCAGAGAAATTTGCCATGGTCATTATCGAGGTCTGGAGGTCTGTAGATGACACCTAAGATTAGCTTGTCGTGTTCTTCAAGAATGCACAGCCAGACTCCATGTCTCTCCCTTCCACCTTTATATTGTTTCTTACGCAATAATATAAATTTTTCCCTAACATACATAGCAACTCCGCCATCTTTCCTGTTGATTCTCTCACGTACACACGTGTACGTGACACTCAGCAGACACATCCCTATTTTTCAGACAGAACCAAGTTTTAGTTATTACGATAATATCTATATTCACTCCAATACTTCAGTGTAAACACTTGATCTACACATCCCCTACCTATTATAAATTCCTTGTTCATCTACGGTCTCGCTCTCCGTCTTACTCCTTGTACTACAACTATTTGTGTATAATAGACTATATGACCATTTTTCCAGTTTTTATCAGTAGTTATATTATGAGGCATCTGTTGTCTGAACGTTTGCCTAACATGTCTTGAATGATCCTTTATATTTAATTTGTTGTAGGTTTTAAATAGAAAGTTATCTCCTAAATGGAATTGAGTAAAATGTATGTATGTATATATATACATATATATTATATATATATATATATATATTTTATATATATATATATATATATATATATATATATATATATATATATATATATATATATATATATACACACACAAAACAACCACTCTGAAAGAATAGAGAAATTCCAAGCGCTTTCGTGACTACTCACATTATGTGAGTAGTCACGAAAGCGCTTGGGAAATTTCTCTATTCTTTCAGAGTGGTTGTTTTGCATATTCTGAAATCACCTGTTTACTGTGATCTTATTGCATATATATATATATATATATATATATATATATATATATATATATATATATATATATATATATATATATATATATTTATATATATATATATATTATATATATATATATATATATATATATATATATATATCTATATATATATATAGGGTAGCTTTAAGGTGGCATTAAACTAGCTTTAATTCTTCAGTTAGCTACAGAAATTACTTAGTGCTTCAGATAGGGTGATAAGATATTTAAATTGTTTATGTAACTGAAATTACGAACTAGTACATCTTTAATTATAACTGTTTTTCACATAGTTAAGTTACTTACCTGTTTTAACTTTTAAGGTTGAAATAAGTTATTCCAGGTAATCTACACATATACTGCTATATAATAATAATTTATGTAACTGTATTTATGTGTACCTGAACAAATTTACTTACTAACTGAAGCTTGTAACAGGAGATGGTGTGGGAATATCGACAAGATTGTATGGCTGAAACACTGAATAAAGGTTCCAGTTATAGTTTTTGTGTCCTTATCATCTCCATATTGGATCTTACAAAGCCAAGTAAAAATCTATATGTTCCATTAAGTAGGCTGCACCAGTGCTGAAAGTATGAAGCCGTTAGGTAGAGATATTCTCAAGCAACAGCACTAAAACAAATATCTAAATTGTTAATTAAACAAAATCAGCAAAATTGGAACCTACGCCTTACACACCATTCTAAACATTTTTTTAACTAAAACACCTTTCAAGGTAACTTAGGGAAGTGAAAGGCTCTTGATCCAAACAACTGTAGCTCCCTTCCCTTTCCTTGGATCAAATGTGATTATCACCCATTCCCCCACGACTCTTGCTTACTTAGCGCTCCCCTCGTGAAATGAATCAAACGCGTGGGAGACACTGTTGTAGATGGCATAGAAACTAAGTTTTGGAGTAACAAGATTAAATCATAATGGAGGCCACAACTGAATCGTGTATAGAAAAACGCTTGATAATAGGCAAGACACATTTTAAGAAAAAAAAAGAGAATAAGTACACAAATACAACATAGTAAGTAATAACTACAGTTTGTTACAAAATACATTAGTAAAAATATTTTGCTGGGTAGCCATGTGGATGTGTATGTTTTTTACAGCGGTGATAGATATACTAGATCATTATTTAGTGGTAACTATAGTGAGAGTAAGAGGTAGATGGGCACAAGGTAAATAAAGAGATATTTATGGTAAAACATAAGCAACTATTGCAAGACAGGTGAGGCTACAGATAATACAGGTTAAGTGGGAATCGGAAAGGTAAGATGTAGATTTCAGAACGCAGTGTTAAGTGTACAGTAGAGGTTTGTGGGTGTAGGAGAGTGGATGCAAGTGGCAAGAGTAGTAGTTAGTGAAATGATGAGGTAAAGAGGGTAGAGAGGCAGAAAAAGCTAACATATAACAAGTTTTTACAATGTAGAAGTGATATACAGAGGAGTATACGGAGAGTAAAAGAGGTTAAAAGAATGGTAAGGGAGTGCAAAAGGGTATCCAATGAAAGAATGGGTGAGGTTTTATCAACAAGTTTTCTGAGAACAAGAAAAAGTTTTGGAGTTAGATTAATAAGTTGAGAAAGTCTAGGAAACAAATAAATTCAGTAGCTAAAAGTAAAAGAAGGGAGATATTGGATGGGGAGGTGGAAGGAATATTTTGAGCTCTTAAATGTTCATGAACGGTAGGAGTGATTTCATGCACTGGGCAGGGAGGTATAACATCTTGTAGGAGTGAGGAAGAGTCAGATGTAAGTGGAGATGCGAAGTTTGAGAACCATGTGTGGTACTGACATTAATCAAAGAATTCGGAGCTGGAGATATACACCGCTCCATGCACACAGGATATATGCGCTGAGAGGCGAGTATCACTCATTGTATATACACCGAAATGTTACTTCATTTCCTATATTAAGGACAAAGTATCCTTGACTAGTAGCGAACAGTCTACATGCAGCTTTAATGACCCTCATGTGGTTGATACGCTCTAAACCCCATTTACCAACCAGCCCTCCAAGTATATGTACTCAGTGCACACACGTAAGGACAGACATACACATCAGAAAAAAATAATAGAAATTGTTATTATGTGTATAAATAGCTCGTGACCTTGAGATAGCAGCTATAAGCCGGCTCGATTCAATTACCAAGTCATGATAATATGACAATATCTGTCCGTATTAAAGTGTAAACACAAGGCAGTGTGATCGCTGGCTCAGGCAACTGATGTTGAGTGATTCTCTCGAGTAATTGTTCAACATTCATAGTGAGTTTCTTTACGCTGTTTTCACCAGACAGTCGCTGAGGTAAGTTGATAATTCATATTTTCATCAAAACTTCAGAAGTTTAAAAGTATAATTCTGATAACATGTGAAT